TGGTGGGGTCAACTGTGGGTAGGAGGGGTGCGATATGCAATTGTATATTTCGAAGGGCAGCAGAAGGTTTGCATTGAGAATAAAAAAAGAATATATATATATATATATATATATATATATATATATATATATATATATATATATATATATATGTATATATATATATGTATATATATATATATATATGTATGTATATATATATATGTGTGTGTGTGTGTGCATATGTGTGTTTGCAGATACTGATAGATAGCGGGAAAACTATGGAGAAGGAGAGAGCGAAGGTAAATACATAGAACTAGTCGATAAAATGTATAAAAAGTCAGTAATAGAGAGAATTAAAGGCGGAAAGGGATAACATTTATAGACAAAAAGTAGCGGAGATAAATTTGATAGAAAGTAAAGATATTAATTGAGAAAAGAAGAACATTTGCAAGCACTGAAAGCAGAATCTAATTGAAAAATTTAACAGCAAGAAAGTAGAAAAAGAGGAAACAGAGGAAAAGAGGAAAAAAAAGAGAAAACGAAAAAAACAGAAAACGAGAGAAAAAAGAAAAGAGAAAAAAAGCGAAAAAGTGATGAAGAGAAAAAGAGAGGAAAAAGAAAGAGAAAAAGAGCAAAAAATGAAAAAAAAAGAGAAAAAGAAAAAAGAGAAAAAGAAAAGGCCATAAAGCAAATGCCGATAAGAAGCGGAATGAAATTAAATGAGAAAAAGGAAATAAAATATATGACTGTGTGGAAGGAGAAAGAAAGTGAAATATAGAAAAAAGACATTTGATATTAATAGAAGCAAATAACACGAAATAGGAAACACTAGAGATCGACAGAAAAATAACGTTAGGAACAGTGGAGATAAAAAAGAAAATAAATAAATGAAAAAATAAAAAAAAAGAAGTAGGAAAGGAGAACAATTAAAAAGAAGACGTAATGGAAGATGTTAAGTCAAAGTCGAGTTCAAAATATCAAAAAGAAAGAAGAAAAGGAAGACAGAAAACCAGAAAAGGAAATAACAGAAATTGGTAAATATTGAAAAAAGCGAGAAAAACGAAAGATGGAAAGAACGACAAAAGAAAGAAAGAAAGAAAATAAAATAAAATCAATAGCAGAAGCAAACAAGAAAAACGGAAGAATCACACCAAAAAAAAAAAAAAAAAAAAAACGACAAAGAAAAAGACAGGAATCAAGTTAAAATAAATGAAAAACGATGAAGACAGTTGAAAGAACGTAGACGAAAATGGAAAGAAAGAAAGAAAGAAAAAGAGAAACAGTGAGTTCCGGTATGAAATGTAAGGGAAAAAAAAGAAAGGAAAAATGAACACGGAAAGATGGTAATGGGGGCAAAAATTGGAAATATTGTAAATGAGTCCGAAATAGGCTATAAAATATGCAGCAGTTTGATAAAATAAAATGAAGACAAGTTCAACGTTTGCTGATATATATATATATATATATATATATTTCTGTATGTCTACAGAGTTGTGTATACATATGTGTGTACATGTCTGTGTGTGTATGAGAAAGGAATTTCAAATTTCAAGACGAGAGCATGAGGAAGATGAAAGAGCAAAAATGAAAAAAAAAAAAAACAAATTCGACCAACAACAAACAGAAAGTAAGCAACGAAAAACCATCGTACAAAGGCAGGGCCGAAAACAACAAGAAACCACCCAACCACTGCCAGCAACAACAACAACAACAAGCAAAAAATAAGAATAATAGTAATTGTTACACAAGAAAATTTGATTTGAAAACTGAACACAGAATTCGTCGAGGGAAAAGAATTGTTCGTTCGCCTTTAGGAAAAATAAAAGAGAAGTCTCAAGTATAATAAAATAAACATAAGAAACAGTGAAAGAAATGAAATCCCTTCTATTGAAAGGAATATTTTAAAATTAACAAAACAACCGTGAACATTATTGGAGTAAAGGGGGAGACGAGGAGAGGCAAAACGATTTCATCAACAATTGATGTAATAAAAAGATAGTTTATCATTACTTGTACAAAACTATTTCACAACAAGAAGAAAGTTCTTCGACAATTGCAAACATGAGCCACCCTATTTCTAATGTTAAAAAAATAAAATGATAAACGAGTAAAAATAACAATGAAAAGCAGAACAATTTAGATTAAAAAACAGACAAAAGCCAGATGGAACAAAATAAGGAAGTTATAATTTAAGAACATTTAAAAGTTAGTGGGAGTGACTTAGTAAATAGGAACAGTGATTGAGGTTTTCTTCTGCTTTATTCATATTTCTATCTATCTATCTATCTATCTATCTATCTATCTATCTATGAAACCATTCCAAGAAACACCGGATCACATGGCATAGATTTCAGCATATCGCACTCTTGAATAAGACAGATGATGATATATGTTAGTGTATAGAACTCCTACTTTGAATCTGCGAATAGACTAATTCTATCTAAATTGACAACACAAGCCAACAAAATAGTTTGATTATGCTGACATAAACTAGGTTCAACATCCAAATCCTTAAAAATGAAAGAGTAAGATTAGAATAAAAGTTATTCTAATTAAAAACTTAAAAATAAAATTACACCTTTACAAGAATGAAAACCAAACTGGGTTGTAATGAGTTGACATTCCTAAAATGATAATGGGACTCACTAAGGCAATGTTTATTAGTTCTTTTACAGGAACAGATGCAATTGAAATACTTCTTTATGTGTGTTGCCCTTGAGGACGACCATTTTGTTTTCATAGTGAATTAATGCACGATAAACTACACTTTTTGGGATGCGTTTCAGACTTTCTTCATAAAATTGAGAAATTTGTTATTGCATTCAGGAAGAAGAGAAGTAATTTTCAAAAGTTTCAACCCGAATATCAAGTGATGCATTATTATTTTTGTAGGTTTTTTTTTTAACAGTTTTCGTAACTTCCACACCAGTAAGATCGTTATTATTTATCTTTGGATACAGATTCTGTAATGATATTGTGCATATTGTTACTTTAGTGCGGTCAAAGTTAAAATGTGACAAAAAACGATTTTTTGCGATCACGATATGTAATTTGTTTAAATTATATAATTTTAAATGATTTTTCGCTTTTCTCCACAGACTATACTATGTCTATATTGCTTGTCTCTATTAGTTTTGGGAAAGATATTAGAATAACCAAGAACATAAATATTGTCAGCAAGCCGGCTGCTTACGGATAGAAAAAATAATTGATTTAATATACAAAAATAGAAAGAGCTGTAAAACAAGGATATGTCTTCTCATCGGACTTTTTCAATCTATACATTTTGGCAACTCTATATGAATCATAAGTCCTACCAGGATTCATTACTGGTGGCCACAATCTTAACAACAAAGATATGCAGATGACATCATCATTGGTTGACCGCAGTCGGGATCATCGCACCAATGCGAACAATCCTTTCCTTTAGTTGTATAGTGCTACACTAGGGCTACATACAGTTTTTAAACTCAAAGTTACTAGCCAAGGCTAAAGAACCCATTCTGTCCTGCTATTTATCCAAGTTTTTGAGAAAATGGAAACAAAAAGGAACTTTTATGATTAACATCAGGAAGATGGCTATTGCTTGGGCACGTAAGGAGTAAAGAGGCTTTGGAAGATTTGATGCCCATAGGACAGATACAGGCAAAACAGCGCATAAACTACCTAGAAAGAAGATCGTGGAGAGCCATTATTGCCAATGTCCTGAAGGGACATGGTATATAGAAGCAAAAGATGGTGTGTAATGATGGACGATACATCATCAAACAACTCCAGGAAATTGGGTACATTTCCTATGGGAAAATGTATACTTGCTATGTCAACTTCCCAGCAGAATAAAGCCGCATCAATGGCAATTTCAATTTATCACCCATAAGAAACCGCCTTGCAAACTCTGACTCAGGTGGGTGCCTAAATCCCCCTGAATCAGAGTTTGAAGGCGGTTTCTTGCGGCTGATAAGAGTAAGTGATAGAGATAGAGGAACTAAAAGAGGAATTAAATCTGTCCCTGAAATCATACTTTTCTGATGAGAGCTTCAATACGGAAATATTTCAAACCTTATTGGGAGTACGACTAGGAAGAACAGAGAGACCAATTGTAATCTTTTCCTAGTGAAATGCGAAGTGATAGGCACTGATTCTTCCATAACACACCCAAACAACTTCAATAATAGAAGACAGTGACCCTGCTACCCCTCCCGACGTCGATGTACGCTTGACATAAGTATTCATTTTGGGGATAAGAACATAGGAAAATATCAACATCATCTACGAAGTATTCCACGGAAGAGGATTCAAGATAAACAATTCCAAAACAGAATTATGATCTGGATTTGGAATGGAAACAATTATGGTACCTAATGTGAAAATTCACTATGTGGAATTAATAAATACCAAACACTTTAAATATCTCGGTGTATGGATCAATGATAACAAATTTCGTATGATAGATAAGGAAAATGGACATGGACTAGGCTGCGCTAGAAGTAGTTTCATCCAACGCTGCAAATTGCTACAAAAACCAAAACATTAATACGTCCTTAATTAATCTCATCTGATCGAAACTTTCATATGAAGTCCTTGTATTTCACCAAACTCATAAAAAACTATTTAAACTGTCAGCTGTATATAACCGCTTTCTCAGATCAATCCTTAAAAAGGATTTGAGCGAATGAAACCTGTATGTCTTAGCGAGAATCATGTTTCTTCGAAACTTGTATACATGTTCTGCAGAATTACTAGTAATAGTAACCACATCACTTAAGGGCTTCCAGTAGCAGCAACAACTAAAATGGCAAGCACAGGTAACTCGAAGAGATAGTAATAACATAATCAAGATGTTGACATTCGATAATAAACCAAACAAAAGTCAAAGAATGGAGAAAGCCATCAGTACTAGGAAGTTAGTGAACCTGAGAAATCTATTTTCCTGAAAAATTGTTTAAAGAGAAAGATTTTGTAAATTTCAACAGAAAGTAGGACTTCCTGCTATCCCACCGAAAACTTCGTTAAATGAAATGTCTTATATTACCATTATCTATCTATCTATCTATATCTATCTATCTATCTATCTATCTATCTATCTATCTATCTATCTATCTATCGCAATCTATTTCTTTCTTTCGTTCTTTTTTTTCATTCTTTCTATCTATCCTTATAGATAGACTTTAAAAGGGACTAGTAGTTGTTTGATAATTTTGTAATAGTTCAAAGATTCACGGGTATTTTTCTTCACTTTGTAAGAATTGAATTAAGAAAATGACTAGAAAAGATATGCATACGCATTGATAATGAAATGAATAAAGCAAGGAAAATATAAAATTTTCACTCAGCTGATTGATGTTATATTCAGCATTATGACTCTAGAGTTTCGTAGACAAAAACTCCAGCAATCGCTCCGTCTACTTATCAAGAGATACCAGCAACTGACTGCTTATTTTTCGTTTTCGTTATATATATATATACATATATTCGTTATCTCTCTCTCTCTCTCTCTCTATATATATATATATATATATATATATATATATATATATATATATATATATATATAATTATTTATTTAAAACTATGATTCCGAGGAGGAATCATTATATTTAGGTTCTTCTTTTGTATCGAGCACTGTTTTTCAAAAATTACTTACGTAACGAGTTCTTTCCTATTTTCTCTATATTTTCACACACACACACACACACACACACACACACACACACACACACATATATATATATATATATATATATATATATATATATATATATTATGATAATGTCTCTTCATAAGGGAATGTGAAACATTGATATATATTTTCCTCTCTATTGAATATGTGCTGTTGGCATTTCAGGGACAGATATATTCTCTATCAGATCTAGACATTCACCTGAGTCAGAGTTTGCAAGACAGAACCACCAGCAATCGTTCCGCCCAGTTATCAAGAGACACCAGCAACTGACTGATTATTCTTTCGTTTTCGTTATATATATATATATATTCGTCATTTTATATATATATATATATATATATATATATATATATATATATATATATATATATATATATATTCGTCATTTATATATATATATATATATATATATATATATATATATATATATGATATATTATATGCGCGGTACTTATTAGAAAGCGCTCAATATCAGAGATAGAGCTAACATATTTGGTTGAATTGATGTGAGTTTGTGACCCTGGGTTTCACGCTTTTGCGATCGTCAGACAAACTGATTATTTTTTCTAAAATTTTGGATTTATGTAAATTTCTTGTATTGCTGTTATTATGGAAGTGGGGGGGATCGTCGTCGTGATGTCACTCGTGTTAACGCAAACATGATGCATGTCCGTACACCCGTTGAGGTATGCAGACACACATACACTCTAGTTCGTCCGCCGCGGCTCATACAGACATAAACATTTGTGGACAGTATGGGATTTGACATATGTATGTATATGTGTGCTGTTGTCTCTATACATACGCATCTGTATGTTGAAATTGAAAGATCGGAAGTGTAGCCAGAATTTCTCGTGAATGTCTCGTGAATGTATACATGTCAGCAATCAGAGCGTTTTTCTATTTCTTCGCTGAATAATATTTCCTCGAATGCATGTATATACGTGTGGTGGTGTCTGTGTAAAATTATGATAGGTAAAATTGCTATTATTCATATATATATATATATATATATATATATATATATGTATATAAATAAATATAGTATAATAAAATAAACATAGTAAAATAAAAATTAAAAAAAGGAGAATATTTCAAATCGTAGTTAAATAAAAAGTATTAAAAAAAAACCAAAAAAAAAACCCCGAAAATCTTTAAATTTAAAAAGTGACGTTGAAATTTTTTTTACCGTTAACAATTTTTTAAAAAAACATTCAGACGACATCCATTCAACTGATGTCAGGTTTCATTGTAAAAATACATCCCTACCCCTTCCAAATTGTAGCTAATAACTGATACAATGATACTGACATAAGGAAATCTAGACATCCCTTGTTCAATTTAAGTAGAATATTCTGTAACCATGGAAATGTGATTTTAGCTGTGTCTTTAAAACCCAGTAATTTTTTAAAAGTTACTCCAAAATTCGCTTGAAGATGAAATGGAACTAATGCTTTTAATTTAATTGCAAAATGAAATTCGGGGTTTTAGCTTCTATTTTGAAACATGGTTGGAACTGTGTAGCGAAAAAAACATATTTTAAATCAATTAATTTATATATATATATATATATATATATATATATATATATATATATATATATGTATGTGATAACGTATCTTTATAAGAGAATTGATATATATATTTCCTCTCTATTGAATATGGTCTGTTGGCATTTACAATGCTGAATTTTTCTGCTCGTATAAATTGTGAGCCGTACCTAGGTAAATGACCCCTTGGGATGACGATTAAGTTCTGTAAGCTTGTTTTTTGTGAGTGATACAGTGAATAATTGTTCGGAATAAGAAATCGGGAGCAGAGTTTAAATTCGTGTGGAGTTAGTTACCTTCACTTACGAGCAAATATCCTTATGACTGTGTATCTATTCTCCAAGTAATTATGAGTTAAATTTGCAGACAATTCTGAGCCCTATAGCCTTGGTTGGAAACTAGTCTATCGCGGAAAGTATCGGCAATTTACGGCAGAGATACTTTTGACAAGTCAATCATGAATCAACAACAGACATGATCTCTCAAACGTGAATCACATATAACACCGAAGAAGGAAGAAGAAATGCTGGCACTCGTTTTGAATAAACAGACATGAAATCTCTTCCGTTGTCCGGTCTTCTCATTTTTATCGGTTTTCATTGACTATTTAAAACTCTTTTTTGAGTCGTGTTGTAAAACTTTTCTATTTTATAGGTAATGACATCGTATTCCTATCCCTCTTTATCTGTTATTTTTTATATTTTTAACTTTTATATGTTGGTGTAGAGCTTCGGGATTTAAATGAACAATTGATTTTCCAACGATAGGAAGGTTAATGCAGGCAAATAATGACGAGGAGACACACGGATTATTATTTTCTTTTATTATTTATTTTTATTTTATTCATTTTATTATATTTATTTTTTATTTTAACAAAACATGATAAGAAATTTATTTACGAATTTACACGCTTGTGTCAGTAGCTCGCTTCAAAAAAATAAATGAGAAATTTTTAAATCCGTAGTTTCAACGAATTCTCATGCAGCCAGTATGTATATTGGTGTCTGAATTGGAATGTTTATCCCACAACAAAAATGGCGGATTCGCATGTGTGAGTCCGGGTAATAAAATACAAAGAAACACCTAAAACCAATATATATATATACAAACAAATGATAATGTATTATTAACAAGATAAGAAGTTACATTGTTTCGAGCGACAAAGACAATGATATTGTATGCATGTGACAATACAAGGAAATTCTTGAAAACATTTGGAGACTACAGAATAAGGCCTAAAGAATATGAAGTAAAATGCAGTTGCGTACGTACGTGTGCTTGTGTACGTATTTGTGTGTGCGTTTCCCAATATGTGAAACGCATTTTCACGATAGACCTACATGCTAGCGTGTCTAATGAAAACAGGAAAGAGAAAGTGGTAATGGAAAGTGAAGAGAAAGTGGAGGCGCGCATGCGCGCTTTTCTCCTCGTTTTGGCCTACATCTTACCATCCCTGGGTGAAATAGGTGAAAAAAATCTTAAAAAAATATAACAGTGTATTCAAAGGTTCAGAAAGCGTCCTCTACTGGCGGTTTTTTAGGAAGGTAAGTGTAGTAAGCCCACATCTTGAACAACTTCCCGACATATGAGAAATACGAGTGACTCACAAAGCTTATCAATTATTTTCGATCCGCGCTGTTTATTAGTCATTGTAGAAAGATGGTTTGGTTCGTTTTGTTGGAAGTCAACCGAAATTAAGATGAAAGAAATACTAGACAATGTTTATTAATACTTGTACTTGAGATGGATCGAATGAATTTGATCAAGCTGTCTAAAATATTCTTCATGTACACTCGTATATCCTCGCTATCCGCGGTGGATAAGTTCTCCGCGGTTGGTGGAATAATAGCAAACAATATATACAAATAGTGGCCAAATGTTTCCTGCACGCAGTAAGGTCATTTGGTGACAAGGGAAGCAACTTCTTCACCAATAAATTAGACTGGATTAACTGTAAAATGCGGTGCATTGTAGAAAATCGTGTCTGTACTTAATGATCTGAAATGTTGAAGGTTGGGACTTTCAAGATAGGTATATATTTATATATTTATCTATTATATTTTCTAGATGCTATAAGGTCTATGGCATGTTTATACTCTAATACTTTGAAAGAACGTCAGCGAAGTTAGTTTTAATTACACAATTGACGGTAAAAAATATGGTTAGCAAACTACTGTAACCAAATTTATTTTCATAACATTAATATTATTTAATGTTATGCTTAAAATCTACAACTTCGTTTCTAATTAATCAAGTGTGAAGGTTACAACCAGCGTCCGTCACGAGATAATAATAATAATAATAATAATAATAATAATAATAATAATAATAATAATGGAAAATATGCAACTTTTTCGGGAAGGAACCTGCAAGAAACTAGTATGAACATCACACATATCCGGTTACAGAGATATGACCTGTAAAAATTTTATGGTACTTTACTATAAACACAGAACAATCAAAGCTAATAGCCCTGACATGATGATCAAATACCACAAAAACAGAATGTGCTTTCTTATTGATATGGCAGTCCCTGCAGATTATAATGTATCTTTGAAGATCTTCATAAAACCATAAAAATACAAGGATCTTGAAGTGTTAATCTAAAAAATGTGGCACATGAGGTAATCGATAATTTCAGTTGTAGTTGGAGCCCTCGGATTGATTGGAAAAAATTCCAATAGACTCATTGACGGATTCCTGGTAGACCATGCCTTCAACAAAATACAAAACATTGTACTCACAAGTACAGCCCACACCTTACTGAGGGCTCTATCTATGTAAATTATTTAGATCTTATGTGTTTTTCCTTAAATAATGCTCAGTGAAACGTCATGATGTCATTTCTGACCTTAGGTCTCTGGTTAGAACCCGGAAGGAAATGAGTATACACAAGAAATCAAAGGAAATAATAATAATAATAATAATAATAATAATAATCAATAAATAATGTGTGTCTGCTTCGGTATCGAGTATAGCCGTTGCCTGATAATATATCTGTTGAGGGACATTTCTGTGTCTTCGATCTGCCGCAACAATCTTGAGCTGAGCTAAGCTATAATGTTCCATTTTCCGGGAACTAGCGCACAATTTAGCGGGATCAGGAATATGTTCAGTGGCCTGAAACCCTCGCTCACGGTGACTTCTGACTTTGTTCTAGCACAACAATTGACGGCTTTCGAGCTGTTCCATCTCCCCAATTTCCCTAACAATTCCTGTATCAATCCCTTGTATGTGTTTTTAGGCACTTCTTTAGATCGCTGCATGCTGACAAATCGACTACAGAGAGATTCGTATCCGGATCACATGCTCAAAATACTAACGCTCTAACCATTCGTTCATCTCAGGGAATTACGAATTTATTATAGAAATGCATTGAAGGAGGGTTGTCAGTGGTACCATTACTGAGATATTTAAATTGATATTGGATTTTACGCGAAGGCCATTCCACTATAACGATTTTCAAATTAACCGGGTCTAAGAGCAGCCTTTATAAGTGCCTTTTGTTCTGTTAATTCACCCAAAGTATTAAATGAACCTAAAATAAAAATGATTTATATTTACTATAATTCACACCAAAATTCAGAAATGTCGTTTAAAATTTGTTCAAAAATGGATTTATTGTTATTTTTTGCCTTACGTCTCCAAAGGAACTCACACAAATAAGAAGAGTCTATCATGCTACTATAAGTTCCAAACATAGATTTATACTTCATTTTGGCATTCTGTCGGGTACTTTCGATTGTTTGCATGTAAGCCAACGTTTCAGGATCAACAAAATTCATGCAGTAATTTACAATCAGATGCATATAATTGGGATCATCCTTCAAAGATTTATAGCCTTTCCAACAATCTAACATAATCCCAGTCCCAGGCATTCGAATTGTGGCCAATAATATGGAAGCTGTTCTCTCTGGCACACAGTATATGAAACACTCTTTTGTTTCACGACATATGTCCCTAAATACGCATTGGTCTGGCGGTTGATGTCAATTATGTTTCTAGGGCATTTTATCGACGTAGGAAGAATATTTACTCTCTGTACGATGCGAAAACCGCCACTCTTCTTGATGTTGCATTCTTGTATTAACTCCAGCAATTTCATGGCACGCTAAACAATTTATAATTTCAAAAGTGTGCCAAAAAAATTAATAAATAAACAAACAAACTTTGATTTACAATTTATAATTTGTTGGTGTGAATTAATACTTGCGATAAGTAACTTATTTGGCGGGAATTAATAGGAAGGATCCAAGAATCGAATATGTTGGAAATGATAGTTTTGAAAACAGTTAATAATTTTGTAAATATAACTAGTTTTTACGTAAATTCACTCACTTCTTTTCTAATATGAAGAAGAGCAACGTCATTTGTATAATTAGTATTTAAACTGTCTGGATCATAAAGGCTGGACATCTAGAATATTTCTTTTTTCTTTGTAACATTCAACACGCGAGACATTAGTGAGGAACTCCTAACTCGTGTCGGGTCTCTGAAGTTGCACCATTTGTGAGCATTCTAATTAATTACTTGGATTTGTATGATTCTAGTGGATTTTATCAGCTACTCTATTTTGATATTTTGCATAGTCAGACACATGGCCCAACCACTGGAGCTCTTTCATTAATATCAGAGACATACTTGTGAACATCTACACCATGGAATATATTTTATTAATTGCTGTACTTTTGACTATTATGTGTTAATAAATAATTATATATTAATATATATTCATAGTATATCCACATTAACATTCGATAACCATTAGTTGTTGGAAAGTGGTATCCTTGTAAGCCAGTAAATAAATCTTTCCTTGCGTCCTGTTTGAGATAGTTATGTTTCCTAATTGTCAGTGATCAGGAGTTCGAATGCTGATTTTTAGTCAAAGTTATATTTCCTACTTGGATTATTATCATACTACGTCAAATTAAGTGTTATTTCGCAAGATTTGCCAAGAGCATCCAAAACGAAATATCTGCGAGACGTGTTGGCTCAATGTCATTGTCCAGCGTGCACGTTTATTTGCTAAGCTTAAATCTGTCACATCCTTATCAGGAAGAAAGTGAATATCGAAACCTCTACATTATTAGAACTAAATTGTTAATTTATTCACTATGGCTTGAGCCTTAAATATGTAACCTTTGACGATGAGAGTTAACATGACGATTTTAACAAATGATTACTTGTGAAAAACGAGTTTTTTAAATTTACTTTTTCATTCCTGTGGAATGAATATATAATAATGTGTACCTCTCTTTTCAAAACCGTTGCCAATATAGACCCACTAATCTTTACTGCTATAGAGAGAGGGAACGTGAAATGGAGTTCCTCACATATAATGATATGTGACAATAAGTTTAGCGCCCCCTTATGAAGAATGAATTATAAACTCATTTTGGTGCTTAATACTTTTGTCCATGTACAATACTTGCTTTATTCAGGCACAGCTTTGTCTTTGTAGCACGTTTTTCTTATGTCAAGTAGATCATTCTATGATTCGCTTGTCTTCGATGCACCCCGTGAGAATTAAATTCTACAACTTTTAAATGTCACTATCTGATCGTTAGCAGCAATCTTTTGTAGTTCTCTCTCATCTTAAAACATCCTCACTTCTCGTATGTACTATTGATAGTCGTACCAACATTAGTATGAACCTATTTGACAACGGTTTATTTTAACAGAAGAACCCAATTGATGGGATTTCAAATGAAAATCATCGCCATGAATTTCGTTTAAGTGTATATAAAATTAGCAATTCCAACAACTGTAAACACGAATCTTTGTGTAAATTCGGAGAACACACTCAACCGAAAATTTACGTCCCAGAAATCTGACTAAATTAATGTTCACAAATATTGTACTGAACATTATTGGCAAAACTTTGAATATAAATGAAACATTTCTGTCATTGATTGGCATACAAAAGAGACATGGAATGAAAATTTTAACTCGGAACTTTCTTGACTCTTGAAACTGGTACTCTTATTTAAAAAAGAAAATCCCAAAAGAAAAATAAGTATCCAAGTATTACTGAGAAGCTCTCGACCCTAACCACATCTCAGACCAAATGGCTAAACATAAGAATTTTTCTTGACCTCATGTTCGGATTGAAAATCATTCATGCGTTCAGCGAAATATTCCTTAAAACTTTTTTTCTTCTTTTTCCTTCTTAACCGTTTCCTCTTTTACCTACAACCTCCTTCTTATCGTTGTAGCTGTCTTCACCCTTCTCCCTCTTCTTTTTACCTCTTCATCACTATTGTCGTCACCCTTCTTCTCTTTTCCCTCCTTCCCGTCCTCCTTCTCATCGTTATAGTTTTCACCCGTCCCCCTCTTTTTTTTTTACCTCTTCATCGTTATCGTCGTCACCCTTAATCTTTACTTCCTGCCCATCTTCTTTTTCTTCTTGGCCTTAATCCCGAACTCCCACTGCATTCGTTTCCGCTCTTTTACTTCCATCTTGTCTTCAGCTCCATTTTCTTTTTTCACATTTTTTAAATTTTTCTCTCTTTTTATTCTCTTTTCTCCAACTCTTTTTCTCTTTTGTATATCTTCACTTCCCTTTTTCTTTTTTCTCACTCTCCCTACCACTACTACTACTACTAACTTTTCTTTTCACATTATTATACTTGCTTATTTCCTTTTCCTTTTCTGATTTTCTAATAAGCTTTCCTGTCTTTATTTCTCAATTATTCTTTGAAAGACCAGTTCGTATCGTGTATTGCATATTTAAAAACATCGAAATCGACATTAATATTATTTATAAATGCAACCCTCTCTCTTCCGACTATTATTTATTGATCCACTCCCATTAATTTACCTATACCACTTTTATGTTTCCTCCGACTTCCTTTTCCTTTTTTTATATCATCTATCTCTCCCTCCTTTATTTCTGGCCACCGTTTCGCTGTTCGTTAAAACTTCCTATCATTTTTGCCATCAAGTGCAATCATTTCGGGCAAACTTTCCATCGCAAGATTTCTAGTTTTTTTTTGTTTTGCTTTTGTTTTCTGCGTTCGTGTACAACACTTTCTTGCTTTGTATGGTCTTTTGCCCCAAGACTACATAGATGCTGCTCTTTTCAATACTCTCAATAGTCTCATTAAACGGTGCTTGTTGGGCCTGTTGCCCAATGTTTAGTTTCAAGCCGAAAGCTGTCAGCAAATATTATAAATATTACAGAAATTGTACGAATAATTTTATTTCTATTGCTACTACTAATACTACTATAACGACGACGTAACTGTTGCCAGCACAGAAACCAATTTTGTCGAACTGGGTTCGAATACTAAGATTGTTTATTGTAATGTCTATTTATTTACAAGAAGAAAGGCATGAATCCAATGTTCAATTGTTAAACCTCTTGAAGATGTCCCTTCATTGGGCATGACGTGATACTTCATAAAATAATGAATTAATATCTGGACAAACCAAACACCCATAACTATCATATTTCCAAGGGAAATACCAGCTAATGGTTGTTATTCCTATAATCATCCTTGACATGGACAAAAATTATTTAAATATTTATTCAGATCTGTATTTAATTAAATTCATGCCAGTTTAAAAAATAACCATATTTTAGCAATAAATTTACGTTATACTTAGCTTAAGACTTAAATTTAGCTGAAGTTTTTTCTCCTTAAAATCATGATTGTTTTTATGAATAATCAAGCGTAGTCTCCCCTTGTTTTGTTACTCTCCTCTTTGAGTGAGATATTTCTGTTTACTTGGACTATAAAAGGACACTATACGCGAACCTTGTATTTTCAGTTGAATAAAGCTTTTTTAAAGCCTACACCCGCGTACTTTAGTCATTAGAATTGTATCTTTCACAGATGTTATCGTTTTCCAGACTAACGAAATCATAAGACAAATATTATTATTTATTCTACTCGGGGCTTCATCAATTACTGTCGGCCAGAGGGTCTGTGAATTTGCGGTGTTAACGGCAAACTTAGATTCTACATTATTGCTCTTTCATCTCGGATCATATATCTGTCTTCCGGTTATTCCCAGTCCTGCACATCCGAGTCGCAACTGGGCCAACCACCAATTCAAATGTCGCGGGCAGCCACTGACATATACTGAAGGTGTTGATCTGTACCTGAGAATTAGGAGGTCATCTCTCAGGTCAACAATTCGATTCATCTACCTTCTCTGATGGACACTGAGTCCAAAGTTTATTTTTGCCATCATCTTAGGTGAGTGGCATCTTACAAATGTTTTTCTGAGACCCACTCCAATCAAAGTTTTCCTCTGGCAGAAAAATGTCCGATAATAACAGTGGTTCAGTCTAAGTTTTCAAGTCTGTCGGTAACTGGAAAAAAGATGGCTTGTTAACTTTAACGCCTCCAAAACTAAACTTCTCTCCATTCATCATCTGAGAGACTCCTCCCTGCCTTCCATCAGCTAATCCCCAGGAAAGAAACTCCTTGCACCTTCTCAGACTAACGTTTTCAGCTGACATGAAGTAGAAAGACTATATTGAATCTATTGCTAGGCTAACTGCTCGTGTGAGACAATTTTTCTCTCAAGGATCTATCTTACATATCCATATTCGTCCATGCTTAGAATATTACAGCCATATACGGTCCGGTGCCGCTGCTATTATCGTGCCCTCCTTGATAAAATCCAAAGAAGATTCAGCCTGTATTATTTGTCCTGATCTGACAGCTCGGCTTTATTCAGTTTTCCACAGCCATGTTTGCCACTCTGTCTTTTCTATAAATACTTTCATGGTAATAATTCGGATGGGCTCTTCGCTATGGGGACTAGTTAGGATTTTCATAGAGACATTACGGTATTATGGTCGATGTTGTAAGAATTGTAAGTAAGAATGCGTTGTTTTGGTGTAAGGAATATTGTCGTATGTTTGGGCCAGTGATCGTGGCTAGGTAAGTTTAATGTTAAGACAGAAGAAGGCCGACTTTTTTTCTCATTCCCCATTTTGGCCTCGTGCCGCATTTCGATACATTATGCAGAATAAATATCCATCTTCGCTATGGTATGTAGACTTTTTGAATTTAAGTGCAGTACTAGACAGGCGTCAAGATCTCATCAATTTACAATTGAGCCAGGCTAGATGTAACGGTAAATTCTATGCTAGCTGTTTATTTTCTCACACTTCTCACTTGTGGAAAGACCTACTGGTTCCATACTTTCCTGCCAAGATTTATCTGCAAAAATTTAAATACAAAGTCAACCGCTATCTCTTGTCCTCCTGACTACTCCTTTTCTTCTCGCTCATTATTAATGTTTTTGTTCTTAATTCTTCTACACTCTGTAACTCTTTGTGTCTTGGTCGCTTTACTGCCTTGCTTGTGAGTGATACCAATTAAAAGAAAGTGCACTTCATTTATTTAATCTCGATAATCAAACCACAGAAATTTGCTAATACTTTTTGCATGACTTTGCTTTTTTAGAAAGATTTGTTGGCAGTCAGAATTACTTAGATGTGGACTATGTTATGTCTTAGATGAGAATATATTAAAAGTCTGTCGTTTGAAGTTTGATCTGCAATTTTCACTGTATAATGTTTGTTCTATGTGACTAATGTGGAAGTGATAACGTACATTGAAAAGTAAGAACATTATGTTGAGAAATAAATATTTGTTGTTTAAATTAAATGCTTTTCAGTCACTGAACTGCGGTCGACATTCAATGCTACCTTTGACATATTAAAGACAAACGGATCTCATGCACATTGTATCCTAATGCAAACTGATCCAGGTTGATTACCTCCGAATATGCTGTGTCCATGTGTGAAATAAGATATACAGGGAATAGCATGGTAAGTGAATGCAATAAACTGTCGAAGAAGGAATATGTGGCCATGATAGCGAGTCAGAGAGAATTGTGGGAACAACTAAGAGGAAACCAGGAAACAAATATGGGCACAAACAAGAAGCTGTCATTGAAAATAATATTTTACAAACGAAACAATTTAGGTTGCCTCTTTAAAATTCAATCTCTCTATTCTAATGCAGATTGTCAGAGATACTCTTCATGAACAAGAAAATTTACCATCATTCATAGATTGGCTATTCATATATTTGTTAAGGAATCCTACCTGTAAAATACCAATGTAAACATGCTGGTGTCAGGTTTGGTAAAAGCTTGCAATTTAAAAATGGATTTCTAAAAATAAATAAGTAGGCCTTATTTCTTGTAAGATTGGAGCAACATATTCTTCAATAAATATCGATAAAATATCGAATTTAAAAAGCTGATCTGACGACTATAATATCGACAAATGTAATTATGAATAGAATAATAATGGTAAGAGAAGAAGGAGAAGGATCCATGGAGGAGATGGTAAAAAAAAATAAGGCAAAAGAAGAAGATAAGGATAAAGAAAAAGAAGATGAAGTGAAAAAGATGATAACGACGAAGTTGATGATAAAAATTGGAATGAAAAAGATGATGACGACGAAGTAGATAATGCAAAAAAAAAGATGAAATGATGTAGGAAACGAAGAAGTTGATAATGAAGAACAATGTAAATATTAATATTAAGGGGAAGATGAAAAAGAAGTCGGCACAGAAGATTAAAATGAAAGGCAGAATAAGTTGATAAAGGAAACGGAGAAGAACTTTAAAGCTAAAGAATAAATTAGGACGGAACACCATAGATTCCAGGAAAAACTACTAAAAGATGGGAAGGAGGGGTTGAGGAGGCGAAGAAACGGCATAAGAATGAAGAGAGGAGTTGTAAGAAACGTAAGCCGAGAATAGTGGAAGACGTAAATAAGATAGAAAAGGAAAAAAAAAAGACGTGAACTGCAAAATAAGGAGGAAGTAAAAGTGAAGGAGAATGCAGAGAAATAGGCAAAATAAATGAAAATGGAAGAAGAAAGGAAGAGAAATAAAGAAGAAGAAGAAGAAGAAGAAGAAGAAGAAGAAGAAGAAACTGCAGAGAAAAATAGTTGGGGATGTGCCCGCGTGAATTGTTTTTGACCAAGACATGCCAGAAGATCTATGGCCGATTCAACAAAGATTTTTTACGGTGATATAGGCCAGAAGATAGTATTTATTATATGCAATTCTATTAACTCCTCGCTTCCATTCTTGAATCGACCAAAGATTCGTTTTTGTTTATTAACGTCCAAACTTTCGAAAAAAAAAATACAATGCCCGATATCCCAAAGTTTTGTGCTCGTATTTTTACGATGTTGTCTGCCAGTAGAGAATGTCCACGTAATCAAACCACAAGAGTTTCCCTCTTCAACGGAAAACTACATTAATTTTTTTTTGAAATAAGAAAACACAAGAAGCTCATTTGTCACCTGGATTCATCTTCTTTAATTTCTTGTTCGTTATTTTAAACTTGTCTGACTTCTTTAGGGAACATGCAGCGTTTAAACTTGAGAAATAACTGATAAACAAATTGCGTTGCCTTCGGCTGATTGACTTTTTAAGCAATCGCTGCATTTTCGCTTTCCCCGTGTAACGAGGTTTTGAATAGGAAAAGCTAAGAAACAATCGGGCAATAACTTAGAGTTACGATCGGAAAAAAATGTTTGATATATTAAAGTATTTAACCAAAAACAAATGATTAATACAATAGAATTTGCTTCAGGATCTCTCTGTTTCTATCATACTTTTTTCCTTATTGATATGTCTGCAAACAGAAGAATACCGACATAGGCCTACACACTTCAGTATGCGCTTGTAACTATAAAGAAACACTTCTCAATTTAGGCTTATTATTACTAGATTTATTTTCTTTTATATAATTACACAGGCGGGTGCGCGCGCACACACATATGCACGTATACGGTGTTGCACAAAAAGCAAGGAGTTACCATTTATTTTATGAAATGTTGATAACAATTCGGTTCCATATATATGATAATTTCCAACATAATCTCCTTCCTTTACAATGTACTTAATGTAGTGTTAAATATTAACGATGTATATTGAGCATTACACATTTAAAATTTGCATTAATAATTTACAGATGCACACACACACACACAATATATATATATATATATATATATATATATATATGTTGAGAGAGAGAGAAAGAGATAGTCATCCGCATACAAGCCTGTTTCGCTGTATCACAGCTCATCAGTGTGGTTAGAGATCAGATTACTTCAAGCCGGGATCGAAGCTCCACCGATTTTTCATCAGTCAGTGATTCTATCCCTAAGTTATCGGCGCATGGTAGAGAAATTAAATCTTTTAACGTAATATATACGTGATGTATACAAGCGCCAAATCATTAGCTAAGAACTCTCAATCCATAACTGAAGAGCAATGCATTAATAGCAGGGCAACAAGTTTTTTTTTAAATTACCTTTTTGTACAGGGCTCAACCGGCGAATGAGACGATATATATATATATATATATATATATATATATATATATATATATATATATATATATATATACACACAACAGGATCGGGAAGAAATAGGAAACGTTTATAAATTTAAGATGTTTCTCTTTTATTAATGCTTCATCGGTTTTTCATAATGCATGTTTTTCATTTTTGTATTGTTTGTTTTTTATAGGTTAATCAGCCCTCACATAAGTCAAGCATCGTTAGTGTGTATACATCAGATGCATTTTCTGATTAAACTTTAATAAAAGCCTTATATGTAAAATTTATAAACGTTTTCAATCTGTTTCTTATTCAATCATTCCATCAGATTCAAATTTATATTTGTTCCATATTTTATTACATTTCATACACACACACAGACACACACACACACATATATATATATATATATATATATATATATATATATATATATATATGCAGATATGTAGAAAAATAGGGGAAAGAACACGTTAGGTAAATAATCAGTTCTTTAGTATTTTTGTTTTTATTTAAAAAAAAAACAAAGTGTGCTCCATACAAAAGTAGAGCTTAAATTATAATTATTTTTTAAAAAAATATGATTCCTTCGCTACATAAGAGTTCTCATGTTTCAAAAACGAGAACCGAAAACCTCATTATAATTATTAAAATTAAATTGAATTAAACTATCAACCCCTGTTTCATCCTCAAGCAAAAATAAGAATAACTAATCTTGAAATTTACGCTGGGGCGACCATTTTGATAAGGGGCCTAAGAGTTAATTTTTAACCACATATCAGTCACCTTCGGAAAGAAGTCAACCCAAGGTAGGGTCGGGGTGTCCATTTCAAAGCGAATGATGGCATTCATGTACACACACCGTCTGGTCAGTCACAGCGAAAGATAGCTTTTGGCACCAAAATATGTCGTTAAGTGTCTAGAGAATTTTGTTTTATTTTATCTATCTATATTTTTTTATTTTTTTTTTCCTAAAGGGCTGTTTCGTACATAAACGCGTCGCACTGAACTACAATTTGTTTTTTTGACGATTTCATAAAGGGTTTGTCTATCTTATTGGGTTAAGCTTTTAAACCTTTTATTAGACTATGAAATTTAATTTTTTTTATGCTAATTATTTAATGCGAAAATTTGTTGATGTCGGCAAAAAACCGTTAACTCATGTTTATTTGTTTAATAAATTTATTAAACCATAGACATGAGTTAATATCCTTTTATATTCATTTTTATTTATATTATTATTTTTTATTTATATCCGTTACTTATTTCTCCCTTTTCTGCCTCAGCCTTGACCGTCTTTTGATTGTTTAACCTAGACAGACCCATAAAACTTTTTATATTGTTCCGCCCTCCTTTTTAAACCCTAAGTAAACTACCATATTGTTTTCTGTTTTCAAAAATAAATCATTTTCATCATAAGTCGACTGATGACGGGACAATTTTAGTTTCGAAACATGAAAATTTGTATGTAGAGATGTAAAAAATTTTATAATAAAAATATTATTAGAATACTTTGCTCTACGTTGTATCAGGCACTTTCTAAAAAAGGTAAATGGACTGTGGATTCTTAATCATTCTGTTCCTTCATGAGTGTGTGTGTGTGCAGATACTGACAGACAGAGAAAAAATAAGGGACAGAAAGATATATATATATATATATATATATATATATATATTATATCATATATATATATTCTATCATATATATATATATATATATTCTATCATATATATTCTATCATATATATATATATATATATATATATATATATATATTTGGTTGGATTGATGTGAGTTTGTGACCCTGGGTTTCACGCTTTTGCGATCGTCAGACGAAAGTACTGCATATATATATAAATATAAATATATATATATATATATATATATATATATATATATATATATATTTATTTATATTTCAACACACACATACACACACACACACACACACACATATATATATATATATATATATATATATATATATATATATATATATATATATATATATTCTATCATATTACCATAAAAGATGTGATTCAAAGTTTGATTATCAGGACCTCTGCCACGAATCACTATAATTTCTGTGTTCTCAACCTAAGTTAGTCCATGGAAAATACATTTAATATTTGCAGAAGTTACGTTCAGAGGACAACCCAATAAATCAATACAGGACATTTATTTAGACAGTAGTATTTCGTTGATCCATATTTCATTAAAAACAACAGAAAAGCATTTTCTCTTTTTTTACTTAATTCCTTTTTAGTAAGTGAGAATAAAAAAGAGAGACTTGTTATCATTTTATGTTTTAATATTATTATACATTTGATAGTAGTTTAACTGTATGGTTCACTTGCATAAAAATTGTCATGAATATATTGCGAAAGCGCGAAATATGGCTGAAAATTTGACAGGAAATAATTTTGTCAGAATATTGTATAACGTTAGCGACACTGAATATTGACCTCAGGGACAAGCGCTTAAACAGCCTCTTCTCGGTAAAATCGACAGATTTTTTTTTTATTTCTTTTTTACGGTTTTTACTAAACAAAACGGAAAGCCAAACAAAGTTAAGCTCAGTGAAAAAAATTTCCGAAGGAAAACCAAAGAATAATTTCCTTTTTTTCTTCCGCAATCAATTTTCCAGAGAATCTTAGTCTGTAAATATTTACGAATAAAGAATAAAGAGATGATAGAAATCTATTTTCAGCAAGAGTATTATTTCCGTTCTATTAATTCCTCCGGAAATAAACGAATCGTAAAAATTGCTATTTCTCCATTTACATTTTATCCTGTTTTGAGGGTTTTCATTTCTATTCAATACCGACACGAAATACTGAATCATGATGGCTGACTATAAAACAACACCAAAAAATAACCTAAAAGACAGCGCAAAACATAACAGATGAGGCCACACATTATTTTAGCAGCGTTAGGAATGGTCATTTTGTATTAGGTGCTTAACGGTGTGAATTCCTCTTAGCTGTATCAGGAAAAATCTGCGACGATTATCCCATACTTTTTAAAGTGAATAAAAAACTCCCCACCCCGCCAAAAAAAAAACTGAGAATGTGTGCATTCTCTAATCGTGTATAATAAAAATATGCTGATGTGATTTTATTTTGGCGTTTGGATAATCTGTGATTTTGTACAAAATGGCAGATATTTGGTGGCAATTTTCCAGAGCAAGTATATATCGGTAGATTCGTTAAGGAATCTGTAGTCTAGTTTCTGTTTTGTTTTTGTTTCATACGATTAAAATTAAAATAATTATAATAATTATTATTTCCACGGTGAAGGCTATTTTATAATGATATTTATCAAAAATACTTTTATCCTTATTATTATTATTAGAATTATATACAGAATTTTCATTGTTATTATTAGTAGCAATTTGCTACAATTGTTGTGTCGTCATCTCAGTTTTTACGAGCCAAGTTCTGTGTTGATATTTTACCAGAGACTCAGAGCGTTAGGGCGGAATCACTTTGACGACAACAACACCAGTCCTACAGAGTCTGTGTTCGAGATATGTTTGGGGATGAGGAAAGGAATGGGTGAGACTAGAATGTCATATAATAGAAGCTAATTACTGTCGAAAGTCGAGTGGTTTGACATTTTAACTAACACTTCTTTGATTTTCATATGAATTAAAAAGAATTGGGGAGGGCTTTGACGGAGCCCCTTAAGGGGCATTTAGAAGTAGTTTGGTAAAAGACATACTGAGGAGCAATAGATGATACAAGGAAAGTAGGAAGAAAACCACAAAGAAAAAGAAATAGGAAAGGAGGGCAAAATGAGGAAAATGAAAACGTTATGCTTGAGAGAAAAATCTTCATAACTCATCTCAATAAAGAAAGAAAAAAAAAGGAATACACAGCAGAAGAAAAAGGGAAAGAAAAAAGAAAAGCAATGAAAGAAAATATGCAGATGATTTGTGTAAATGAAGAAGAGTGTAAAGAATGAAGAGAATAGAGAAAGAGGATAGCAGTAATAGAGAAGGGAAAAAGTGAGAGTGACGATGCAGTTGAGAAGGGGGAACTTATTAAATATGAAAAGAGGAGAGCAAGGTTGCTTACGTGATATAAAGATTAACAGAAGATAAAGTAAAGGGAAAAGGAAATTATAAATGGGGAGAAGATGTAAGAATTATAAAGTTAATAAATAAGAGCATTGTTGTTATATATGCTACACACGCACACACACACACACACACACACACACACACACACACACACACATATATATATATATATATATATATATATATGTAGATAGATAGATATAAACTAAATAACGAGATATTAGCAACTGTAAATGCGTGCGATAGCATGCATTCCCAAATAAGCAAATAAATATTTATTTTAATTAATTTATGGTGCAAATAAAATGTAGTTAAACATGGCTATGTACATATTTTTAAAAAAAAGACACAAATACCAACGTGTGTAGAGCAACATAAAGTTTCATGGTTTCCTAATTATACTCAGATTCAAAGCTCAAAGTTAATATAAACCCAATATATTATTGGGGTGTAAATTCAAAATATAGAGTTTATGGGGGGAGATATTAGGAAAAAAATGGGGAAAAAGAAGTGATACAAGCTTAAAGCGTCTATGGTACATATTTTTTCCGTTGGAAAAAAAAAGGCAAGATTTAAATTAAGAAATTATAAAACGTAAGGATGAAGCAATATGAATAAAAATATGTGTATGTGTGCGTGTGATTGGCATTGTATAAAACTATGAGTAGCGGATTTGGTATTATTATTATTATGTATTATATTTAGACTGTCGATTTTGAGATTGAGCTCTCAGTTTTAATTTATATTTTAAGCATTTATATCTATATATAATTTCTATATATATTTCATATATGTGCGGAAAGCGCTTAATATCAGTGATAGAGCTAACATATTTGGCTGAATGGATATGTGTTTAATCTGCCGGTTTGACGCTTATACGATCCTCAGACAAATTGCCTGAGGATCGCATATATATATATATATATATATATATATATATATATATATATATATATATATATACACACACACACACACACACACACACACACACACACACACATATATATATATATATATATATATATAGTTATATATATTAGCCTAGAATGTGTCATCAGAGTCCAGATGAACCAAGGTATGGGTATTTACGACTCGTTCTATAAATGCTAAACATTATTGATGTATGGTCATTTAGTAATTAGGTGACTAGGAAAAAAAAACACCCTGGTTTTTATGCGATCATCAAAATTCGTATTCGTAAACTGATATGGAATTTGTTTTCCTAAACGACGCATTACAATGTTTATTGATTGAATCAGTAAAAAATAAAACACTTGAGATTTAAATTTACTACCTCTCCATATCAGAAAAGCAACTAACATAAACACGTGCACTCATAACTATAAAAGTCAATTTGCTGATTATTAAAAAATAGCTCTTATACGAAACTTAATAAACTGTGCAAATCAAATTCTTCAGTAAAAATGATTTTCTATACTGAATTACAAAATATTAAACAAAAACTCATTAATAATTACTTTCCTAATTACATTGTTGATGAACAAATTAAAGCTATTCGGAATGTAAACATGAAGAAAAATGAATACAATACATCATCAAATAAATTTAAACATGTCAAATTAATATACCGTAATTAACTTCATTCTAAATACAAGCTAGAGGAAAAAAAAAAACACTCATAAACAGTAATGTATCCCCCACTGATCCAAGTAAAAATGTGAGGTATACTTTACTAAATTTAATACAACCAATATAGTTGTCAAAAACAATTCTACTCCGTCAGGAAGCATCTTATAAAAGGCAAACATTGTATATTAATTTAGATGTCCTTTAGGAGATTGCATCTCTGATAAAAATGTTATTACGTATGTTGGTTTTACAATGACAATGCTGACGAGAAGACTTATATTTCACTTGGATGGGCATAGTTTAATCTTACAGCATTTAAAAGAACAGTCATGTCCACATTGGCAGTTTAGACAGATATTATTTGAAAATACATACATCGATATATATAAATAATAATCAGCAAAAACTTAAAATCCTAGAAGAGAAAATCCTATAAGAGAATTAAAGAGGAAAATACAGTCAACTATGAGTATAGCAATAAAGTTCTAAAAGTTTTTGTAGTAGCAAAAGTTTATATATATATATATATATATATATATATATATATATATATATATATAATAATAAAAATAAATAATAATAAATTAGAAAAATAAAAGTTGCCTCCTTTGCATGGAAAAAGGACCTTGTGAATTTGAAATTGATATAGAACGCAGTAAAATGAACAGTAAAAAGTTTTGAATTTACAGAAATACGTATACACATACAGAAAAAAATTAACTCCCTGAAGATGGTCACAGATGAGACTGAAAGTACTTGGAAAAATAAAAATTATTTGAAAGAAAATTTTAGTATTTTCTTAATCAATTTTCTACGGCTAACAAGAAATTGATTCGTGGACTCAAAAGGATTAAATAAAAAATAATTTGACTAAATTATGTCTAAATTAATTAATGAAACCTGTTTGTATATATATATATATATATATATATATATATATATATATATATATATATATATAGAGAGAGAGAGAGAGAGAGAGGAGGAGAGAGAGACAAAGAGAAAGACGACTAAAAATCATGTGATAATATGTGAGAAGACTATGATACATTATACGTTGAAACCTACATTTTATTATTTGTATATATTCTGTTTACAATAGTTTTATTCATCTTCCTGCTCTCTGATCTAGGAGAAACACCTTAACGTTGGAAAAACCAACATTATTATCGGGAAATGGCCACAAATGAAAGATGTAGTGTACTCTTCTCAAAAGAAAAGGTAAAAAAACTCGAAGACTTACTTTCGGTTATTAACAGAAAAACTTATTTAGCAAAATACGAAAACGTCTACACCATTTTGTCGGTGCTGATAGTGCAAAGTCATGAGAGAGAAACCCTATCTGTCAGGTATGGTCATATTTTTCTGCAGAAAGATGGAAAATTAAATTCACTAAGGAGTTTAGGTTGTATGCATAAAATACTCTCATGTCCCTACTGAAAAAGGATAAAAAAAAACAATGGGAGAAAAACAAAGAAAACAAAACACCATCATTGTGTTTCGCATCTTCCATCTTTGCCGCTTTTCGAGGAGAATGAAATTACGCCATTTTAGATTTAGTTGATTGGATGTGGCAGACGATAATGGGATCGAATGTTGCGCCAAGCAACACGGAACGCCGACCTGGGGAACATCGGCGCTCGCTAATATTGCCTATCTGTGCAGATGTACATCAAGAACGGTTACATACAGGCACACACACACACACACACACACACACACACACACACACACACACACACACACACATATATATATATATATATATATATATATATATATATATATAGCAATCGAATGTTTATAACAATATCAGGAATGATGATTCATATACATAATATACAAACATATATAGTGTTTATAATGCTACGTTTTGTGTATGAATAGATGTATTTTTTGGTTGTCTTTAGATATTCCTGTTTTCCAACGAGTTTATAGTAACTTTATTTTTTCCTAATGCGTCCACTGATATCAGTTGCATAAACAAGATAAAAAGGAATAAGCAACTTATGATGGTTTCGGAAACGAAATTTGCCACTACTTCCTCTCTTTTTTCTAAAGAAATAATAAAAGTAAATGTCTATTTGGTTTCACACACATATAGAATGTGTTTGCATTCACATGTATATATAAATGTATATGTGAGTATGTGTGAGTGCATATGAAGAGAGAACAAAATGAACACACACACACACACACACACAGGCACACACACACACACATATATATATATAGATAGATAGATAGATAGATAGATAGATAGATAGATAGAAATATAAATTATACGTGAGACCTCTAGATATATTACGGCCCAGAGAGAGAGAGAGAGAGAGAGAGAGAGAGAGAGAGAGAGAGAGAGAGAGAGAGAGAGAAATCAGTCAGGTTGACGATTACATAATATAAAAACAAATAAGAGGATGTCCTGGCATGTGTATAGGACTGATCAGGTCAACGATCTATAAGATTATGGAAATTATTTTGAGGGTTATATGCCTGGAGATCGGTCATACACGTTCAGCGGCTGTCATCGTGACAAGACAGTGACGAGGATATGGTTTAGCCAAAAGATCAGAAAGTAAGAATATGGATTTATTACTTTTTAAGGAGCAAAGTCTAGCAAAGTCTACTTAAGAAGCTACAACCAAAAATCGAACTTGTACTTTCGAATTTCATTTATGTTATAAAATCTGTTAGGTCAAATTAGTTGCCATCTATTCTGTTTTTTACCTATCTATCTATCTATCTATCTATCTATCTATCTATCTATATATATATATATATATATATATATAGAGAGAGAGAGAGAGAGAGGGGGAGAGAGAGATAGATAGTTATGAACAATTTGAGATAGATCGATAGATAGATAGATGTGTCTATAAACCAGCCATGCAGTCTTTGAGCATTTGCGTGGAACGATTATATACGTACATACATTCATACATACATACATACACACACACACACACACACACACACACACACACACACACACAGACATATATATATATATATATATATATATATATATATACTATTATCTTTTAGTGTCTAATATTAACTGATATAAATATTGCTTGTAGCTCTTCCTTTCTCTGTTTATATACTTACAAACGAATCGTCATATCTGAATATATGTCAGTATGTGCATTCAAATATCAGTACCTGCGCGCGCATAGGCATACACTTTTATGTATGTTTTATTGGTTAAAAGCCTTACTTAGCGTAACCTGATTAATACATAGGTGGGGGCGTTTACACAAACAGACACCTTCTGGCAAAAGCGAGTGAAAAAAATACTTAGAATGAGAACAAAAAGATTTTAAGTGGGCACGTTTTGAAAAATGAAAGTTGAAAGGAAGTGTTCGTTAAAATCCGATGTATAATGCAAATGATGTTGAAAAAGATGTATCAGAGAAGCAGGAAAATCGGTGGCTGGAAGAGTAGAAGCGGAAGGAGAAAAAACACATAGTGATAACAAAGTGTAGCGGAGGAAGATATATATATATATATATATATATATATATATATATATATATATAAAACCGGTAGAAGAAAAATGAGAAAATGGAAAAGGAAAATATAAAAATAGAAATGTTTAAAGTAAAATTCTTACTGCAAACAGATACCTCAAGAAGAAGGAGGAGAAGGAGGAGGAGAAGAAGGAGGAGAAGAAGGAGGGAGGTAGGAGAGAAAAAAGAAGGAGGAAGTTCGAGAGAAAAGGAAAATGAAATAAGTGTTAAGGGCAGAAATAAGAAGTCTACTAATAAAAAGGGGAAGAGTAAGAGTAAGGAATAAAATCCAGTAACAAAGAGAAAAGAGAAAGAAATGGACTACGTGGTAGTTGTAATAGTGAAGAGAGAGTGACAAATAAGTGAAAGAGGAAGAGGAATGAAGGAAAAGAAAATGAGGAATAGCAGAAAACGAGTAAAATATAATTGTGTCAAAATAGTGGAGGAGGAGAAGGAGTAAGTGCAAAATAGAGAAGGGGTCAAATCTTAAAAAAGGAAGGGGAAGAGGAGAGGTTGACGAGAAGGAAAGAGAGGGAAAGAACGTAAAACTGATGACTGAGGGGAAGGATGAAGAAAAGAAAGAGAATAAATAATGATGTATAAGGAGGTAAATCTCAAAGCAAATAGAATAGAGAAAGAAGGGTTTATAAAATTTAAGATCGATGCGATGGACAAGTGGAAGAAAGGGATGAGAAGATGGTGGAGGAAAGGGGATAAGAAACAGAAGAGGAGGAGGGATGAAAAGGAGAAGTAAAAGAAGAGGAGGGAATCAAAGAAAAATAAGACGATGGAAAAGAAGATGGAAGAAGTAGCTAAGAAAATAAGAAAAAGGTTAGGAAAGAGAAGAGGATGAAGAGTGAAAAGAAGAAGCAAAAGAAGAGATGCAAAGAAAAAGGAAACGAGAGAGAAGAAGAAGAAGAAGAAGAAGAAGAAGAAGAAGAAGAAGAAGAAGAAGAAGATGGAGGAGGAGGAGGAGGAGGAGGAGGAGGAAGAAAAAGAAGAAGAAAATGTTGTGGGAGATGTGTAGAAGAAGAAAGAGATGTGACGTCTTTTATCGTCTCAATAAATGAAGAGAAATGCATTCTGATAAATTTAAGATATTTATTCTAATATACAACATATTTATATATAAATCACGTTTATTGTTCATATACAAAACACGTAATGTTAATTAACATTCTGTCACTGCGAATTGTTTGTTAATATAATTTCAAGTATCCAGACAACTGATCGAATGAATTTCGGTTTTACCACACCGTTTAGTCCAGTCCTTTATATGACATTCTTGAAGTATGCTTTAACTATCCTTCTACTTTTCTGATGTTGTCCACCAACACTAGACATTAAACTGCAAAGCGAATAAAAAAGATATTGACCTAAGTAGCACATTACACCAAACTTCATCAAAGTGTGTGATACGAAAGTGACGTGCAACTCAGCTGAAATCGTCGACCGTGCTTAGATCCGCAGGTGATACATTCATCGGCTGGCCTTATCAGAATGATTAAATGTCTCGATAATCATCTGAAATACCTCTCTACCGTTTACGATATGAAAATTTTTTTGAAAAAAATCATGCTTTCAAAGATTTTTTCATAAGCATCAGTAAATTGTATTATTGTAAATTAAAACCTCTACATGAATAAATAAAAAAATACACCGACTGAGTTACCCTTGATTTTTTATTAAAACAATCCCATCTGAAGATTTCGTCGTTTTCAAGATCCAAGAATGATGCTAAAACTGTAAAGAGCTAATCCAAATAAATCTAAACGAATAACTCTACATTTCACATAATAGCTAAAAAAGGAAATACGATGACGTATTATAGAATGTAAACTATGAGGCGGGGGCACTGAAAAGCCCGGCTATCTTTCCAAAAACAGTATTTCAATGCCTAAATATCAGAATACTGTTGTTGGGGTAGTGGGTGGTGAGAATACTTTTCCAAAGTCCCTTTTATGTAGCAACACTTAGTAGAGTATATGAACGAATCTGAAAGATCTGTAGACAGTGTACAATGTCACGTTTAGTTTCAGAAGCACATCCACTTGTCGGAACTTATTTGCTAAAACTTGTACCTGAGAAGAATACAGACTTGCATATACAGCATCAGCTGCAGATGTAGAGAAGTACATAAAGGAAAAATTACTGCTTCCTGGTAGAAAAGGAAGGGGAGGAAAATCATATCGGGAAATAAATATGATTACATGACTTCATTTAGAACAACGTTTAAATAATAGAAAAGAACAACGAGAAAAACTGAAGCCAGTTTATGGATAAATTTACCACGAAGATTTGTAGGGGTACGCTGACATTTGCTGGTATATTAATGACCACAAATCCTGCGACTCTCAATCATGTATCTATGGGTTAAATTGATTAATCCAGCAAAAGAAAAACGTGTCACATTTCGTATTTGTTGGTTTGCGAATACGTAATGGATGGAAATTTTTTTGTGCTGTGGTTTGTTAAACTGATGAGGACCGTAGAAACGATCGATAGAAACACCTGGAAAACAATAACAGAGAAATTATCAATCGTTCGAAAAACTCTAGGGACTATCTGAGAATTTCACATGGGATTCAATATTTTTTCACTTACCGACATTTATATCCTCATCTAGACATATGACTAAAATACTTCAGAATGTCAATTCTTAAGTTATGTCATGAAGATATTTGTCTCCATAAAAAACAATGAAGTTTATTTTATTGTTATTTTGTGACGTGAATTTACATCAACTTTGAACATAAACGGCGCTCTCCATCTACATACTGATAACGTTTAAACACCGCTTAGCAATCACATAAATCACAACCGAAATACAATACGATTTCCTTACAAATTAACAGCTCGTTTCATTTAATATTAATTTAATCCTTTAAAATTGATACGAAAGGTTAAAAATATTTCCTACTCTTCGTGATTACTTTTCTCTCTAAACGCCATTACTTAAAGTATCATATTCCATTGAAAAAGTTGTTTTGAACTTAAATATGTGTGTATATTAATACATGTTTTATTCAAAATGACTGACAGTGTATTTCTGTTAAGTTTTATTGTATTTTTCTTGAATGCAGACAAGAGATATATTAACATTACCAAAATGATAATTGACTAATCTATTAGGCATTATCAACGACTTTGGTTGCGCTATTGAAAATGTTAAGTAAATACTATAATTGTTTTTTTTTTAAGTTTCTGAAGAGAAGACATATTTATAATTTCGGAATACGGAAAGTACATTGTGGCCCTGTTCGTAGTTGATATTGTTAAGAGTTTATTTTTTTTATAAGGGCTTTAATTATTTTTAGATATTTTTGCAGCTAGAAGTCCGTATTACACTTCTGCAGTTGACGTGTATGTAAATCAGTAAGTTTTCATGGTGGTTTAATTGGGTCCTTATGGAGTTTTTCTTTAAAGTTGTAGGGTCAGCCATCTTGATAAGAAAATGGTGGTGTCTCTGACTCAGGCATCTGTTTTAATCGGGGACGTTGTTCCTTTTGATGTATTTGAAATCATAAAATAATTTTGATCTCATATAGTTTTGTTTTTGCTCGTGAGTTGTTGCTGCAGACGATAATTTTGACTGCTTTGTAATCCACAATTAAATTAGTTACTTCAATTGGAATATTCCTTAGAGCGATTTTGTCTTATTTATAATTTCTTTGCATTTGGTTTCGATAAAATATATTAGCATTTTTGCTATTATCTCTGTAAATTTAAGGTTTAATTCTTAAGGAAATTAAGAATAATATAGCTAATATGCCTGTACATATTATACATGACAACGAGCTTCCTTTAACTAATGATATTATAACATTTCCTGTATCTGAACTAATCTATTTGGAAATAACTATTTTGTATCTCGTTGAGCATATCAGGGAAATTTTGTCTTCATACATCTGTTCTGTCAAATTACGCAGATGTTCTAGTGTCCCTCCTGATATCTCACTCATCTTTTGACATCCCTCCACCAGAAGATCTTGAACAACATTTTCTATCATTTAATGCCATATTGAAATTAGAAAGCTTTTTTTATCAGTGACTAAACAACAGTGATCGGGAATGAAATATCGAACGGTAATTTAAAACATTCCATTAAATACGTGGAGAATGAGATTTTCTAGTGATTTTCATTTCATCTTGTTTCTTTTTGTTTTTTTTTATTACAGATATTTGGCAATTTCTTTAAACGCCATTACTGTAAGTATCCTATTCCACTCAAAAAGTCGTTTTAACATAAAGGATTAATATACGAAGTAGCTAAAATTTAAATCAAAAATTAATTTGTAAGTTTTTTGATGTTGAGACGTCAGGGACATAAAAAATCATTAGGAAACGAGAAACAAGTTAACATACAGACGGAGGAAGAAGTTTACTATTTATTAGTCTCTCTGTCACACAAACACACGCATAACAATTTTACGCGGCCAAAACTATACTTGACCCCAGAATTATCATCTAAAGAGTCCCGAAACAAATGTAGGCGTATACAGCAAATATAGGAACACGTGGAAAGATCTCGGCCCATTCAAGACATCTGAGGTTCAATCATTTGATTGTATTTTGAGAAGCGGGTGAGACCTAGAAGATTTCAGCAACCCCTTATATATATATATATATATATTCGCCGTAAAGTTTCGGGAAATTTGATCACCATGCACGAAGGAAATGTATCAAAGATTTTGTTATAATCATTTGTGAAAACCTGTGTGAAGAAAAAAAGAAAAAGAAAACGGAAGAAATTTATGACTTTGGTAGAGGAATATTTCAGCTGGTCGAATTACCCATACATGTGTTGCCACAATATTGCAATAAAATCCCTGACTCTCGTTCTCTCGTTACACTTGAACATCGACCATTGACGTCAGAATGAAATACTCAACTATCCAAAACAATAAGCCAAACGTAGGGAACGAAAAAACACACATATTGTGTATGTATCTAGAGTTATAGCGATATTAATAATATTAACTACGAACAATGTACTGACCGTGTTCTAAAAATAAAACATGCCTTTAACTCTAGATACATACACACAACCTATGCATCTAGTTAAAAAGCAAAAAAATATCATCCTTCATAATGGCTAAAAGTATAGCTGAAAGCGCCCCAATAATATTAACTACGAATACGGCTAAAATGGGATGACTGTGTTCTGGAAATAAAATATCCCTATAACTCTAGACACATGCACACAACACATATATCCACTTAAAATGTAAAAATAAAATCATCTTTGATAATGCCTAAAAGTATAGATACTTACAACCCATACATCCATATATATATATATATATATATATATATATATATATATGTGTGTGTGTGTGTGTGTGTGTGTGTGTGTGTGTGTGTGTGTAGCAGTTTTTCATTGATAGATGTATCATTAAATAGACACAAAATGTTTGTTTTTTCTCTCATACTTACAAAAGATCATAGATTTGAATCAATTTCCAGGTTTATGCCAACATGTACTCTTTCCGTTACTCAACTAATTTTAAAACTTGTGGCGACCTTTATACCACTGTGACACTATTTAGGATTGCGTGAAAAAAAGGCGAGAATTAATTAACAAGCTATCACGAAAAGACACTGAGCGATGTTATTTTTTCTAACAAAGAAAAGTGGTAAAGATTTTATTTTCATTAGCGAAGAAAGTAAGATCTCGGATCTGTCGGATTTAATTTGATTTATGTTACGACTGAGCGAATAAAAGATAGCCGTCTGCCCATGGTAATAATGAAAATTTCAAATTGGTCAAGTGGCCTACAAAACAGAATGCTAAGAGATAATATTAATCAGGTCACGCACTGACCGAGAAAAATGTCAGCTGGACCACCCACAAGTTAAAAAGAAGGAAAGATTAAACCATTAACTATCTGCGGAGATATCATTTGGGAAAAACGCCTGTTTTATATCAGAGCTGGCCATGATAAAAAAAAAATTATCGGAACAGATAATTGGCGACAGAGTACGGAAAATCATTGACCAACATCAATGATTATTTGACGAAAATCTCGTTGACGATTTTCAGACGACGTTTAAGATAAGAGTCGTAGGGGTGTGTTGTCGG